TGTATTTGTTTATATTACTGAAGGGGTATAATCATTTACCAACAAAAATATAATTACGTGACATAACATTTCAGCAATAGGACTGAGTGAAAATGCTTCTGCTTTCTTTCTTTTTTTTCAATACTGGGGTTGAACTCAGGCCTCACACTTGCTATGTAGGCACTTTAGCACTTGAGCAACTCTACCAGCCCTTTTTTGTGTTGGGTATTTTTGAGATAGGGTCTCGCTTTTTGCCCAGATTAGCTTATAACTTTGATCCTCCTGATCTCTTCCTCTGGACAAGCTAGGATTACAGGTGTGAGTCACTGGCACCCAGCTTTCAGTTTTCTTTCATTGCATTAAATTTTTAAATACAAATTGTGTATCAAATATTCTTTGGATAAAATATATGTAAACAGAAAATGTGGCTTTTGAAACTAGCAGTACACAGAAACAATACATTTATTTTATTTTGAATTTAAAAACTACAGTTCACTGGAGATATTTTGTGTGTTAACATGCTTATTACTTATAAATAAAGTCCCCAGACCCTATCTAAGTGCTCTCCTTCAGTGCATCTTAATCTTAAGCATGCATGAGACCCATCTATAGGTCTGGCTAAAGCATAGATTTTTGCATATACTAGCCACAGTTTTTCTAATTCAGCAAGTGTAGGAAGGGGCCCAATAACTGGTATTACTAACAAGTTCTCAATGATGCTTTGTAATCTGCTCACCTACTTGGTGGAACTTGAGGAAGGCACAGTCTCCTTGAGATTGTTAATCTCATATGATCCTTTGATACTTGGGACAAGTAATCTTCCTATTATATTGTTTTTGCAACCTGGGGACAAAGTTGAAAATATGAGTGTGACAAAACCCATATAAAGGAAGGAAACAGAAAAAAAAAACAGTTTTAAAAACAGAAAAATGAAGTAAAAGGGTAGCTATTCATTTTTTGTACTACTCATGAAAAAGAACAAGCACCTTACACAGAACATAGAACTGATTTCTATAAATTATAGAGAACACAATGGTCAAGAAAGGAAGAATATTGTACTATCCCATCGGCACCTCACTAAAATCTACATTGGCAAAGGCAACTTAATTGTAGAGAGATTTGAGATCCATTTTCTATAAAATTTGCATTATTTTAGTATATTCTTTAGCCACCAAAATGCATATGTTATCTCCTGGTTAGGAAGTTCTGTGTTTCACTCAGTAAATTTACTTGTCCACACTAATATTTTCTTTTAATTTTGAAAGTCTACCAAATGATGATTTGATGCATAGATAGTCAGAAGGTCTGTGGTATGTTTTAATTTGCTAGGAGCCATCAGTCCATTCACTGGCATCTACACTCTCCTTCAAGGAACTCTCATCTTCCAGGAACAGGATGGATCAGAGATATACCACAAATTCTAACACTGAGCAATTAGTGTTCTAAAAGCAGCTGTGAAACAGGTTCTAGGCATTCTGCATTGTAAGTTAAAAGCCCTGCCAAGGAATTAGGGTTCAGGAAAGATGTAATAATTAGCTGGGTTTTTGATTAGCAAATTTCTAGGCAGGTGTGGCACAAGAGTGCTCTCTTTTACTTTTATGTCAGAGGTGTAAATGAATGTTGCAATCCTTATGCAAAGCTATGATAAGGATATTTTTCTAGTTAAAAAGTAAAGAGATTTGTCATAAAAGGTGAATTTGTAAAATTGGGAACTTACTATTAAGAGTCATTTCATGTGCTGTCAAACATGAGATTGTACTCAAATTGCTTTGCAGTTTTGCCCTTAGAATTTCAGGTTCTACCCACTTCCTAGTATTAGCAATCATATCAAGAGAGTCATTCATCAGGTTTATTGGGTCTATATAGAAAAATGGAGTAAAGGAATACATTCTGAGCCCTTTTTCTCTCTCTCCATCATTGCCATGGCACAAAAGTGCCATGCCCTGACTTAAGCTGAAGACTCATTCTCTTAAAAACAAAGACTATGACAAAAGTAGAGGGAAGTATAAAGAAAACGTTTGTAAACAAAGAGTACATCACAGAAATATAGCAAGCATCTACATAAAAGCTTTATATACTCTTTTAAGAAGAGGTATGAAAGCATAATACAAATACAATATAATACAGTTAATATTGTAAATTAAAATCCAAATAAAGAGAATTAAAAATAGCAAACAATGCAAATGGAGAAACATTCAATCCCACTAGCATTTAAAAACTGTTAAGCAACATTTGACATTAAGTAAGCACTTAAGTAGACATTTTAGCCTATTCTATAAAGGAAAAAATATTAATTGTTTTCTGTTCTGTGCTGCTAGATCCATTTCTTGGCATCTCTCCTAAAAGAAAAGGTTGTTAAAAAGGTTAAAAAATTATATCCAATAACAGAACACACATTTTCCTTCCAAGTACGACCCTGATTCTCTCTTGCCTTTCATAGATGAACTTCTCAAAAGAAGTTTCTATTAATTTGGTCCCAGGTATGTTTCCTCTTACTTATTCTTAGTCAATATGTTCCAATCTGAATTCAGCCCTCACTCTCCCAGAATATAAGGCATTGTCTTTTAAATATATTTCCTTCCTAACACACCCTCTGATCACCATTTTCTCCTGGTGGTTTTGATTCCATTCCATTCCAGTGTCCTTTTCAGGTTCTTCATTCTCTTCTCTACAATAGGAGGTGCAGGGCCCCAAGATTCAGTTTTTAATCTTCTTCTCACTCCCTACACCATTTCTCTAATACCTTATTCATTCCTAATCCTTCAAGGATAAGGTATAGCCCAGCTCCCAAATTAATACCTCCATATTTACAGCCACAGCTGTAAATTACAGAACCATACATCTAGTTGCCAAGGCTGAATCTCTGCATCCTCCATTTTCTCGTGGTAGAAAACACTTTTCTATTGCCTAAGATGTAAGGATATAATGTAATTAAAATTAATTAATCAATTAATACTTTTATGTCTCCTTTCAAAAAGGAGGAAAGTTCCAAAAAACCCAAAAAGTCCCAAGAGGGCTGAAACTGTTTTCTTTTATCCTGAAGGCCACCACAGATCAAATATGACATACAACTTGAATGAGGACAGTAAATGAACTGAACCTCCATTCTTCACTTCAGGTTGCAAAATAAGCATTGCCATTGAATTATTAAGAACAAACGAAAAAAGACCTGAAAATAGAACTTTAAATAAGAAAAAGAATAATTTAAAAATATAAAGGGAACATTTTTTATATAATTAGCACACTGTAACAGTGAACATAGTATCTATCATACATGCAAAAATAGTAAAATACAATACATATATTAGAATAGAGTGTAAAGTACATAAGAAAGAACTGGATGCTTTTAACACACAGCTGTTTAACACCACCTCCAAGTTTTGTAACAAATTTGATTCAATTCATTTTATGATGAAGGCAGAAAAAATATTTAAGTAACTTTGAAATAACTAAATGTGGAAGTATGAGGTGTACATGTCTCTAATAATCATTAAGAGTACAGATCTGGTTCCTCAGCTATTAATCTTACTTGCAACCTTAACAGTGAAAGAAAGGATCTAATGACTTCTTGCTCTGACAACATCCCAGGTACAGTGGTTTTATTCTTTCTTTTCCAAATAGGGACAGATTCCTTGCAAATACCTCTCCACCGCCAGTATGGAGTTGTTACTGATCAGGTGAATCCTTTGATCCTGAACTCTTACACCAAGCAGATCTCCTAATTTCCCAATGCTGATAAAGTCTCGTGAAGAACTTCTCCAGGCCAGTCTCATTTCAAGCAACCTCTTGAACCAAACAGGTTGAAGCACAACTGGATCATCTTGTGGAGAACAGTGGAGTTATATGCCTTCTGAACCTTGCTTCCATTCACTGGAAACAACAAGGAAAAAAAAAAGAAAGAAAGAAACAGATGACTATCCATCAGTACCCGACTGGTTAAACAAGGTATGATACATCCATTAGTAGGCAACAACACAACTGTTTAAAAATATGAAGAAGCTCTGATTGTATCCATTCTGGAAGATCTTAAAGTGAAAAAAGAAAGATGCAAAAGAGTATATGGAAATGCCATATTTCATATAAAATTGAGGAATGTATAATAAAAGAATGTAAGTGTATTTTTAGCTTCCATATACATAAAGAAACTAAAAGGATTTAAATGACAGTAATAATTCCATACTTAAACTTATCAGTAATTAAAGAAATGCAAATTAATAAAATACCAACAAAAAGAAAAAAAATCAGAGGGGAAATACACACACAAACATTGCTGGTGTCAATAATTTGGAAAATCGACCTGGATATTCTACCAAATATCCAAAATAGCTAAAGTTTTGTGCCCAGAATCTCTAAGCTCATTATAGATTCTGAAATACAATAGAGGACAAGAAGTTACATAGTCACAAGCAAATAATGGGCAAAGGAAACTATAATATGTGTAATCACTGAGAAATTGTGTAACCATTTAAAAATAATGAGTGGAAACATGAAAAAAATATTTAGAATGGTATTGCCTTAGGAGCCCAAAATTCAGAATATACTATTTACACATACTATGGCCATAATTTAGTAGTGAGACAAACACTGTTCGTTTGAAATTATGAAAATATTAAAGCTATAAACCAAAGTTATAATTGAGCTGTCTATTGATTAAATCGCATAGGAAAAAAATTATAAAATGCTTTATGAAGAATTAAAATTACGCATCTGTCAGGGAACCCCTTCCTCCTCTTCCCCCACCCCCGTCCGCCAGGTTTCTTCTCATTTTATACAAAAGCGGCGTTTCACTGTTTTTCAGAAAGAACCAAGGAGGCGTGAATCTTAAGAAGCACGCACAGGTGGAGTGAGGGACGGTCTCACAACAATGTGCGCGCACTCCTTCCGGCCTAGTTCTGCGCGCACCCGCAGAGGCTCCCAGACGCCGCGAGGGCGCACTCCCGCGACGCCCCGCTCCCCAGCCCCGCCCTCCCCGCCTCCCGCGCGCCCCCGCCCCCATACGCCCGCCCACTGGCGAGTCCAGCTGCGCAGGCGCAGTTGCTGCGCGGCCGCTCCTAGCCCGGGGGATCCTGGGACCAGGCCTCTCCGGAAGGACTGGCTCGGTGTCCGGTACTCGGCCCGTGTTCCCAGGCCCTGGTCCAGACCCAGGCTTGTGTTCCAGGCCTTGCTTGAAGATCGGCTGGCGGCCGCGGCGACTCTCTAGCGACAGCGGAGGAGGCAGCGGGCCGTTCGCTGTGGTGCCGGCCTCGCCGCCGACCGAGCCGCGGAGCTTCGGTACGTGGTGGTTCCTCCCCCTCGGCCCGGAGCGGAACTGCTGGAGGAGTGGCGGCGCAGGCCGGATGAGGTGAACCGGGTCATTTAACTGCCTCCAGGTGATGAGTCATCAGCCTAATAATCAGATTTGAGGTCCGCGGTCCTTCGTGGTCCTGCTACAGGACGGTTTCCAGTGAATGACTGACTGCTGTGTCCCGAGGGTGCCATAGTGACTGCTTGTCCTTGGTAAGGAAAGCGAGCTCCGTGGCCATCCCGGTGTCCTGTAAACCATCCATCCATCGCCGCACGAGCGAGGCTTTCACATGAAAGTGTCTCTTGGGAACGGCGAAATGGGCGTCTCTGCCCACTTGCAGCCTTGCAAGGCAGGAACCACACGGTTTTTCACCAGCAATACTCACAGTGCAGTGGTATTGCAAGGCTTTGATCAGCTGAGAATAGAAGGATTGCTTTGTGATGTAACCCTGGTGCCAGGTGATGGCGAGGAAATCTTCCCTGTACACAGAGCTATGATGGCGTCTGCCAGTGATTATTTCAAGGCTATGTTCACAGGTGGAATGAAAGAACAAGATTTGATGTGCATTAAGCTTCATGGGGTGAACAAAGTTGGTCTGAAGAAAATCATTGATTTTATTTATACTGCAAAACTTTCTCTTAATATGGACAATCTTCAGGACACTCTGGAAGCTGCCAGCTTTCTACAGATTTTACCTGTTTTGGACTTCTGTAAAGTATTTCTTATTTCAGGAGTGTCTTTAGATAACTGTGTTGAGGTTGGACGAATTGCTAACACCTACAATCTTATAGAAGTAGATAAATACGTTAATAATTTTATCCTGAAGAACTTCCCTGCTTTATTGAGTACTGGGGAGTTTCTAAAGCTTCCTTTTGAAAGGCTTGCCTTTGTGCTTTCCAGCAATAGTCTTAAGCACTGTACTGAGCTTGAACTCTTCAAGGCTGTCTGCCGCTGGCTGAGGTTGGAAGATCCTCGGATGGATTATGCTGCAAAATTAATGAAGAATATTCGATTTCCACTGATGACACCACAGGACCTCATCAATTATGTGCAGACAGTGGATTTCATGAGAACAGACAATACATGTGTGAATTTGCTTTTGGAAGCCAGCAATTATCAAATGATGCCATATATGCAGCCAGTGATGCAGTCAGACAGAACTGCCATTCGATCTGACTCTACTCACTTGGTTACATTGGGAGGAGTTTTGAGGCAGCAGCTGGTTGTCAGCAAAGAATTACGAATGTATGATGAAAGGGCACAAGAGTGGAAATCTTTGGCCCCCATGGATGCTCCTCGTTACCAGCATGGCATTGCTGTCATTGGAAACTTCCTTTATGTAGTTGGTGGTCAGAGTAATTATGATACAAAGGGAAAAACTGCTGTAGATACAGTGTTCAGATTTGATCCTCGGTATAATAAATGGATGCAGGTGGCATCATTAAATGAAAAACGCACATTTTTCCACTTGAGTGCTCTCAAAGGACATTTGTATGCAGTTGGTGGACGCAGTGCAGCTGGTGAATTGGCCACAGTAGAATGTTACAACCCAAGAATGAATGAATGGAGCTATGTTGCAAAAATGAGTGAACCCCACTATGGTCATGCTGGGACAGTATATGGAGGTTTAATGTATATTTCAGGAGGAATTACCCATGACACTTTCCAAAATGAACTAATGTGTTTTGACCCGGATACGGACAAATGGACACAGAAGGCTCCAATGACTACAGTGAGAGGTCTGCATTGCATGTGTACAGTTGGAGACAAGCTCTATGTCATTGGTGGCAACCACTTCAGAGGAACAAGTGATTATGACGATGTTCTAAGCTGTGAATACTATTCACCAACCCTCGACCAATGGACACCAATTGCTGCCATGTTAAGAGGTCAAAGTGATGTTGGAGTTGCTGTCTTTGAAAATAAAATCTATGTTGTGGGTGGATATTCTTGGAATAATCGTTGCATGGTGGAAATTGTTCAGAAATATGACCCAGAAAAAGATGAATGGCATAAGGTTTTTGATCTTCCAGAGTCACTTGGTGGTATTCGAGCTTGTACCCTCACAGTTTTTCCGCCTGAAGAAAACCCTGGGTCACCTTCCAGAGAATCGCCTCTTTCAGCACCTTCAGATCATTCTTAGGTCCAAGGTATAGTACCTTTACAGCGCATCATGGATGATCTCATTGTTCCCCATCAATTGTATTTTCTTATGGTTGGTACATTATTAGACAAAAAGATAACTTACATTATTTGTCTTGTTTTACTTAGTGTGTTTATCAAACATCTAACAAGTGCATTCTGAAAATGTATTCAACATATCCAACTGTTTGAACAAATGAAAAAAGATCCATAGAAAAGTAGATGTCTTTTTGTGGTGTTATATAAGTCAAACTATATGTGACTGTAGTAAATACAATTACGTCCATTATGCTTCAAAGTTGAATGTTTTCTCCTGAGTAAACATCATAGGGAGGCCACTTGCTCCAATCTGAAATAATAAAAGGTTGCCAAGTTTATTAGCAACCTCCCTCTTTGTGTAGAATTTTGACACCTCTAACTATTTAGGTCATGTGATTACATTTAGAACATAATGAAGTGGCAGACAGGAGAAATAATAAAAATACTAACTAGAAGAAATGGTCCTAGACCCAAATTTGATCTCTCTCTAGAGTAAGAAAACAGAAAAAATGTACACACAATACAGATAAACATGACACACATCTGTGTATGTGTGTACATGCATATAAAATTTTTAAATTGATTAGCATTTCAGTTTTAGTGAAGTTTTTAAATTTAATTTTTTTCTTCCGCAAAGCAGCTATGTCTATTTAAATGAAAATTCAGTACCAGAGAATAAATGTGTATATAGTCTTATATAGACAAAAACTTACATTACTTTTTTGGCTTGTATATGATTTTCTATAGAGTTGTTTTTATACAGATTATTTAGCAAAGTTCAGGTTTCAGAGAATTGCTTTTGCCATAAATTTAACTCTGCTTTTTTTGCTCCATAAAATTTGTGATATAAAAAAACAAAAAAAACATTCTGAGCAAAACTGTAGGATTTTAAATTCAGTCTCCCAACTTAGTCATCCTCTTCATGGTTACTTCGTGATTGGGGTGATGGCTGTCGTGCTGCTCAAGTCCTTGTGTAAGCAAAGGTGTGTGATAGGCCTCAAGGCTGAGATGTGAGCAAGCAGAAAGTAAACTCTTCTGCACCAAATCAGAAAAATGTTCTTTCAGACATGTCTCAAAGACAGGACCAACTTCAGCTTCCCTAAGAAGCCAGCTACAGAAAGCCTCCAAAGTTCTCAGCAGTAAAGCAGAGCTTCACCCTTTTCAATACCAAGGGTATACCTACTGGTATACCCTTGGTATTACATGGGGAAATTTTAATGGGATTTTCCAGCAAATACAGGATCGCTCTGTAATGAGTGATTCTGAAGAGGCACTTTCCTGGAATTATTTTATACACACACAGACACACACACACACACACAGACACACACACACACACACACACACGCAGAGTATAAATCAGGAACAATTTTCTCTTTATTGGCAATCCCATAATGTAACTCAGGACTCAAGGCAAAAGGAACTGGCTTCCAGGAATCTGAAGCTTTACTTACTGCCCTTACAAGTGTTGATTCATTTTGATGCTTTTTCAGATTTCTGTATTAGCAGAAATGTTCATACTTCCTATGTTTTTGCTAATGACTCAGTGTTTTATTACTAAAAATAGCACATTTGGGTACCTTTAGAAGATAGAAAAGGTAGAATTTAACTTTGTGTGTTGAATAAGCAAAACTGGCATCCCAATCATTTCTTTGATTATTAATGGTATAGAGTATTTGTGTATTTTGTGTAGCTGTTTCCTCTTTGGTCAAATGTTTATGTCTTTTGCCTATTGGAGTTCCTTTGTTTTTTCATATCAAGTTACAGAATCTCTTTATATAATAAATAAAATTTAACTGACATTTGCTTGCATTGATTTTTTTTCCCCTCAGTGTATTACAGGTTTACAAATGCAGGGTGGCCATTCAGTTAATTTTTGAGATCAGATCAAGTCCATCTTTTTGCATTTTGATCTTTTGGAAATAACTTTGTTATGCTTATTTTTAATGCGGTATTGACATACTACTTTTTCATTGCTAATTCTAGCAGGCCAAGGTGATGATGCCCTCCTTGTCGTCTCCTATTCTTCACAAGCTTGCTTTTTTTTTTTTTTTATTATTCAAAAAGGTTCCTACCTTCCATTACATTTGACCTTGTTGCTTTGTAATTAACCACGCGCTCCATAACCAGGTAAGCCAACTGCTTTATCTATATCACCCCACAGCCTTACATGCCCTACCTCTCCTTTTACTTTCCAATTTTTGCATTTGGTAGGTTACTTGGTAATCATACAAATAACTGACTGATGCTAGTGCTAATATCACTACTTAATCCTAGAACTGTTTCCTTATAGAGATAGAAATTTTAAGTAGCTTTGAAATGATTCACTGGAAAGAGACTTGTTTTCATAAGCTGGTATTTTTTTTTTTTAAATTAAGACTGGAAAAATATTTATAAAGGATAAGATACAGACTCATAAAGCGTCATTTGTTTTGGTTTTTCTGATAAATATTCAAAAAGTAACATTTGTTAGCTTTTCCGCTATAAAAATGATTTTTGTCTATTACAGAGAGTATAGGAAAATAAAAGTACAAATCTCCATTATTCCACATGCCAAAGGTAACTTACTAACACTGGGTATATCACATATGCACATATGTATAGACATTTGTCAAATAGTTTTCAAGTATGCCAGATTGTAAGCTAAAAGTTAGATGATTCAAAAAAAAAAAAGTACTCATCTTCTAAAGGTACAGACTGTTTATCCTTATGACTTTAGCTTAGTTTTTTTTTAAATCTGTAGATAATAGAAAATAATATGTAAGTTTTTTTTTCTAATTATCAAATACATGTGCTTTATTAAAAACAAAAAGATTCACAGGGTGTGATGGAGCATGCCAATAACCCCAGACTCCAGAGGATCAAGAGTTCAGGGCCAGCCTGGGCTACATAACACAACCCTGTCTATCTCAAAATCCATTTTTACACAGACAAATACAGGCTTCCCCGATATACACTTGCAAACAGTAGCATTATGTAGTTTGCCTGCATACACCCTGGATCAAATTTAAATTTTACTGCTACAGAACATTTCTAAACTTCATAAACATACCATAAAGAGAATTAAAACCATTGTCCACTGCTCAACCAGTTTTTAAAACAAAGATCATGGGGTAAGTATACATCTCTAAGTTTCATGTTCCCATTTATTTATGGGGTTGGTTGAGGTTGCTAATTGTAGCTATGTTGAGAATGTTAGAAGGTAATGTTATAAACTGGTTAGCATAAGGCATAGGCAGAGAAACATTTAGTAAGTGGTAGTAGTTTTTACTAATGAAGTTGGCATTTTATTACATTGGTCTTAATGATTTTCATGGGTTATTTAGAACTGTTAATTTTCTATACAATATTTCATTTCATGAATGTGCCATAGTATATTTGAATATATACCTTAGAGTTTCATCATTATAAATAAAGATATATAAAACTTTGCCCATGTGTATTAACCTGTAATAAATTCTGAGAAAAATCTGAATAGTGCAAGCTTTTTTAGGTTCTTGAAAAATATTTTCAAGTGTGTGCTAATTACATTTCCTTCAGAACTGTGTGCATTGATTACTCAAAAGGAAATCCTTATAGTTCTAGTTATTTTACCCTTTGATTTACAGTTCTTTAATTACTGATAATAATTACTATTTTACTGAACATGTGAATCATTTCATAAGCTCCTGAAACTTGAATGTTTCAAGGTGGATGTTCCCTCTCTTTCTTCGAAATAGGCCTATTCATCTCAGTTGAAGAAATAGGGATTCCAACCCTTTCTGTCTCTCTCTGTCTCTCTCTGTCTCTCTCTGTCTCTCTGTCTCTCCTTCCTGACTGCTCTGAGGTAAGTGCCATGTTTCTATCATGATGGCCAAAAACAATGGGCCAAGTGACCATGGACCGAAATCTTTGATACCGAAAAAAACAGCTAGTCTATAATTTTTAATGTACACTCTAAAAATAAATCAGCTTTTATCAAATTAAATTTTTAGAACAAAAATGAAATATGCCTTTCAAATTGAAATAGGACAGTAAATAAGGAAAACGGTTATTAAATGAGTCACATGAACAGTAATTTCATGTGAAAAATAGTAGCACTGGGGAGAGAGATGCTTAGTGAACTCTCCAAACAGTGTAATCTGCTGCATCTCTACAATGAATACAGGAAAGGGGAAAATGTAACTCACATATATTGGCATTGCCCATGGTGAAAACAACAACTCTGACCACCCTGCACAAACTGGCAGACTTACCTCACTTTCCATTTTCAACTTGCCCTGTGTATAGATGGAAAAAATACTACTCACAAACCAGTCACCTGGTGAGACCACATCAGTGCTCTGCTTTTAAAACTTATCCTCATTGCCTGTAATCCTAGCTACTCAAGAGGCAGAGAGTTGGAGCATCATGCATGGCTTGAAGCTAGCCCAGGCAAATAGTTCTTAAGACCCTATTTAGGAAATACCCAACACAAAAAGGGGCTGGAAAAGAACAAACAAAAAACCCTTATTTTTATTTGTTAATGCCAAAGAAGAGGTTATTTGTAAAACCTCTATTTTTTATGAGCTGTATAATTCAAGCTGTTAAGAAAGCTTCTAGATAAGATATCTGCATAGGATCAGACAACTGTTGCTTTGAAATCTAAGGATTCCCGGTTATTCTTAATCTTCTGACTGTGTGCCATCTTGGGAAGCTATGTGCCCATATGCACTAGATACTTCAGGAAATGTGGTAATGAATCATCTACTGTCCTGCTTATGTGATTGTGACTCAATTCCCTTGTGGAACCAGGAAGTGAATGGTCCCAATGGAACTTCTCTTCATTGAAGCAAGAAAATCCCACCCTGAACACTGTGTTAACATGGAGCTGATGGGTTAACATACTGTTGGTGCTGTTCAAATCAGAGGGGACGGGTCACATAAAGTCAGGACTGGAGGTGGACTGGAATGACCATGATGAGCTGCAATGCCCCTAAGGAGGTCTGTTGGTGAAACAAGTTTTCCTCCAACCTCAATATGTGGAATTTAAATTGCATGTACATTAAAAAACTCCAGTTAGAATTATTTGGGGATTATATATCATTCTTATGCCTATACAAAAAGGAAAATATAAACAAACTAAATAGGTTTAGGCATTTGAAAAGCTTTTTCATATTTCAGGTTCAATTATACTAAATCATGTTATGCATAAGAATTGTTGATGTCTGTGTTTTTCCATACGTGTCAGTGAAGAAATAACCACTAGGGAAATCTCATTGTTGGTTCAGCTAGAGGCTAAAAAAATAAAGCATCACTCCTAATCTTGAAACTAAAACTGAATACTAATTTTATCTTCTATGAAACAGACAATTTAGTGGAGAAAATTTTATGGAAAAAAAAAACCCTCAATGCAGAGAAAGAAGGTTTGGTACACAGCTTAAATATGCTGTGGGAGGAGGGGAATAGCACTCAGCCCATTCTCAGACATCTTTGGGGTACAGACATGTGCTACAGGTTTCAGACAATATTTCCACATAGGGAAAGAACCTATTGTCTCAATGTTTATTGTAATTCTTTTTTGATAGAAGCTGCAGCATCTGGTGCATTGCCTCCCTCTGAGAATTGAGTTAGTTTTGAAAAGAAAACTTCCTGCAAACCATAGTTTTCCAGGTGGCGAAAGGCTTATATCGTTGCAAGTATACAAATAGTGTCAAATCAGAAGTTTGGTGCTATCCAGCACTGATTTGTGTTGAATATCTATTTATGTGATTTATGCTGTTAACCTCCATTGCTTTTTCCCACTTAACATTAACTTTTTATTATTTGAACCTCCTTTTTTGCTGCTGCATGTCCAGTGTTTCTTTGCACCCACAGAGTCAACTTGAATTTTATGACAATTGATGTCAGGAGGACATTGCCCACTTATTATTTTTAAAATTTATATATTTACTTTATTTTAGTGGGCCTGGGATTTGAACTCAGGGCTTTTATATGTGTTGATTTTATACATCTTATGTATGCTTTTTACGCAGTGTTCTCATTCTTGCATCTTAAATACAACTGTGTAATTGGTGATATTGATATTAATAGAACAGTTACATAGATAGATAGAGATGATATGGAAGCCCATCTGTCATATTGTTTTAATTGTGTTCTAAAGCACAAAATTGTGTTTCCTATAAAGATTTTTTTTTCTCCATTTATGGCATTTTTATAGGGGGAGTGCTATTCAACTTAATGTGGTCAAATGTGTCCATCTTTTTTCACATTTTCATCTTTGGTGATAATTTTGGTGTTTTGTTTTGGTCCTATGTCTTTGTCAGTGCTACTTTTTGA